CGGCCTCCTGCCGATCCTGGGCCGCGCCTGCCCAGCGGCCAGCTGTGCGCTCGCCGGCGCTGCACCGGGAAGGCTCCGCTTCCCAGCTCGGGTGCGGGTGGGCAGGAGTCCGTCCTGGGGGCCGCGGGGCTGGGGCCCGGCTGGAGCTGCCTGCGGGCCCCTGCGAGAGGCCTCCGGGGGCAGTGCGAGGCTGGCTGCTGCTTCGGGCCGGCGGCAAAGCCCGAGGTGTGCCTAGTCACGGTAGTGCCCCAGCGTTCCGCCTCTTCCCCGCCCCCACCCCCGCCTCCCTACTTTTTTCCACCTTCTGTATAATTTCTACTAGATGCATTGCTCATTACCTGCCCCCTCTTTGAGGGTGGTCACCCGTGCTGCTTCTGTTTGTTGATGTGTCCTTCCGGCGGCCTGGCAGGTGGTGGGCACTCTGTAGGTCTTGCGGAATGAATGCATCTTACCCCTCCCGGGCTGGGCTGCCTGCTGCCACACATGCCTGCCTCTAGCCCCTCACAGCCAGCTGTCTCCTGGACTCCGCCTTTGTATGCCCTTGGGGTACCTCGGTCTCAACCTATCGAAACCCAAACCCGGTTGTGTTCCCTCTTTGCCACTGTCGGCCTCTCCTGTCCTGTTGCTTTCGCCTCCCAATATTTTAAAATCTATTTAAAAATCTCTCTTGTCTAGCTTGCCTCCTCTGTCCCAGCTCGGGCCTGGTCTCCTCCCCGCAGACAACTTCACCGGCCCCCTTGGGGTTTCTGTGCCTTCAGTGGGGCTCTCCCCATTCTCCCACACACAGCAGCTGGAGGGACTGACCTAAAGAGCAAACCAACCATGTCCCTCCCCGCTTCACCCCGTCACTGGGTCCGCAACATGCAGGACAGTCTGAGCTCCCTAACCAGGTACACCAGCGCCTCTAACGACTTGTGAGCCTTGCCTCTTGCTTCTTGCCACCCTCGGCCCTCCCATGGGACGCTAGCAACCGGCGCGTGTTCCTGCACACGCCATCGGCTCCTGCCCCATGCTTCCCCTGGGCCCGGAGCACCTCCCCCACCCTCCTGCACCTGACTGACCCTCACCCATCCTTCAAGATCGGCTCACCTCAAGGGCTCCTCCCTGTGTCCCTGTCTCCCCATTTACAACGTTATGTTGTTTTTCTGCTTATACCTATTTCTCCAAATCAGGGCCTGTCTTATTCATCTTTCTATTACCTGGGCCCCACACACAGCCCAGCCCACAGCAGGTGCCCAACCAACATTTACTGGGCAATCATTGACCGATGGGCTGGGACAGAGACTGAGAAAAATAGCAGAGGAGAAAAAAATGTCCTTTCCATGTCTGATGAAAGACAAACCTTTGCCTTCAGGATGGGCCTGGTGGCTGCCTCTAGCCCCCCCCTTCAGTGGCACAGTGATGGCAGCCGGGTTGGCTGTGATGCCAACAGCATTGGTGTGAGATGTCTGGGCCTGGGAGCTCCCACTGTCACCAGACCTGCCCCCTCCAGCTGCTCTGTAAATACGTACACAAATACAAGCCCCTAGGGGTAGGGACCCCCTCTGCTGTGGCAGTTCCCAGTGATGCAGCCTCTGTGAGGGGAGCTGGAGGATTCCTGCGGCTCCTCTGCTTGTCCTGTTTCTCAGACATGCCTGTTTTGTGCCTCTGCGTGCTCGCTCAGAGCTTGAGTTTCCCAGAAGGTTGGCTGCCTGGGTACCTATCTGGACGGTGCCTTCCTGTGTTCTGATGTGGGGGTCCTGTTGGTCGCAGATGGGGCCCTGGTCTCCGCTGGGAGAGGATTCAAGGACAAGAGATGGATGTTCTCCCCTCTAGGTGTAGAGAGGGAAAGAGAACTGTCTTCCTCCTGAGGGTTTGCTGTCAGGCTTGTCCAGCTGAATGGTGTCCTTTGACTTCACCTGCTGCCTGTGCAGCCAGCCACGAGCTTTTCTACTTTCTCTCTCCTCCTATGGGGATGAATCCTGGACCTCGGTGTTATGAGCACCATATTGTAACCAACAGACCTGCCGGCCCCTCTCTCTCTCTCTTTTTTTTTTTCCTTCTCACATGTCTTGAAGTTATATTATTTCTGCTCTGTCAGGACATATGTCTGAAACATATTATTCTTCCTTCTTGTCCTCAGTTTTCTTTTCATGTTAGATCTAAACTTCAGTGCATTAAACGATTACCCTCGTTGGTCTTTTGGCCGGTGTTCCCCTGTCAGTTCATGGCTGGGTGAAGCTCATGTGGGAGATTCCTTGTGATGGGCTCATAGGTACAGGATCTCTGGGCTCTGGCAAGCTTAAAACTGTTTTCCTGTAGCCACGATTACTTGAAGGAATGCTTGAACAGATACACAACCTTTGGTTTACCTTTTCTTTTCTCGAGACATTTGAAAATGCTGCTCCATTATTGCCATGCTCATTGAAGTTCGATGCTGGTCTAATTCTCCTGCTCCTGAAAGTTATTTGATCTTTTTGACTGGAAGCCCTGAATTTTTGTTTATCTTTAAAGTTGCATAGTGTTACCAGGATCTGTCTCAGGGTGGGTCATGGGGGACTGTGTGTTCCTGGCACCCAGCAATCCCTTTTGAGATGTAGACTTAAGTCTTCTTTTATTTCCAGAAAGTTTTCTTGGATTATAGTTTCAAATATTAGTTCTGTTCCATTGTTTTATCTCCTTCAGGAATTCCAATTTCACATCCATCGCGTCTTCTTTATCTGCCTTCCATCTCGGTCACTTTCTCTCCACCACTTCTTACTTTATTTTAAAATTCTCTTTGTTGTTTTTCTGCTTTTCTTCAAGGCTCTTTATTTATTTATTTTTATCTTCTTTCTTTTCCCCCTTCATCCCACTTTGACAGTGAAATATTTATTTATTTTTAAATCCACATTTTATTTGGAAAACTTTAAAACCTACTGGAAAAATAAAAGAATATTACAATTAACACAAACCTCTTGATTACGTTCACTCAAATCTGTTCTTCCTTGGGCATCTTGTAATTTACTATTCATTTCTCATATGGTATTAACTTTTCCTCTTTTTTTTTTTTTTAAAGATGACCAGTAAGGGGACCTCAACCCTTGACTTGGTGATGTCAGCACCACACTCTCCCAAGTGAACCTGTAATTTTTCCTCTTTGTTTTTCCTGAGTTTATTTATTTCTTCCTGTTCTGTTTTTAACAACCGTTCTGATTTAAAGTTTTTTTTTCTCTCATAAAAAGAACATCGAGCAATCAAGGTGTTTTTCTTCATATCTCCAGATACTTGTGGGTATTTGATTCAGTTTGGAGGGTTGTGTTACAGTTTTCTTCTGTTTTACTATTGATTATTTTGGGAATTTTTGTGAGCTGTGTTGTTTTGATTTTCTCCTCTCCTGTCACACTGGTTTTAGACAGGTGAAGAGCACACCTCACACTTCTGTGGACAGAGGACTGGGTTGTTTTACAAGATTCCTAGTCCAAGAGGGACCTTCATGTCAACATAGCAAAGTATAGTTTCTTTGCCTGATGGCTTTTGTTTTTTTTTGGGGGGGGTGCTTCAGAGGGGAAGGGTCATGTAATGTTTGTTTTTTTTTAAGAAGGCTTCTGTCTTTCTGGATCTTAATTTGCCCTTTTGCTGCTGCTTCTCTTTATTACATAGTTTTCAAAGATGCTTCTCCCTAACTTTAACCCTCCTTTTCTGTGTTGCCCTTCTGCAGCTGTCTTCATGTGTCCCACGGTCTTTTTATTTATTTATTTAATCTTTAAAGAAAACAAAATTTATTGCTTAAAGTTTTGGAGGCTGGGAATCCCAAAACCCAGGGAACACATCTGGTGAGGGTCTTCTTTGGTGGTGACGCAGGGTAACACATTGCAAGAAAGGCAGGAGTAGAGAGAGAGAGAGAGAGAGAGACAGAGAGAGAGACAGAGAGAGAGAGAGAGACAGAGAGAGAGAGAGAGAGACAGAGAGAGAGACAGAGAGAGAGAGAGAGACAGAGAGAGAGAGAGAGACAGA